GCAGCTATTGCAGCATAACTAAGGGAGGATTCAGGGTCACCTGGTCCAGCCCTAACTATATGCTTTAGCAAAAAGGAATAATTGTGCTTATAAGGTAGAAGAGTGTTTGAACGTGTGTTTACATTCAGACCGATTGTTGAGTGAGGTTCTTCAGCATCCTCCCTCGTGGGTTTGGCATCTCTCAGGCTGTTTTCACATGTGGACTCTGGATGGTGTCGGAGGATCTGATCCTCACATAGTGATGTTGCTGCTTCTCACATGTGAAAGACAACAGTAGGAGATTCTGTCTCTAACAGGTGGAGCCCAAATGGAGAGAACAGGTGAAAACCACTCTGCTGATGGCTCGACTGCTCTTCAGCGAGCTGGACAGTTGAACACAGTTTCATATCCATTCTGTGAGTGGGAGTGGGGGAATGTCAAAGCTGCAGTGTGAGGGCATGAGCACCTGTTGCAGGACGTCTTGGCCTTCTTTATGGCTCTGTCTGGATGTTTGGGATCATTTTGCAGGGGGAGTTGAGCCCCATCACACGCCCTTCTGATGATGCCGGTCGACGCCTAAGACTCTTAAAGTGCCCCAAACCTTCAGCATATGCAGACGCAAAAACCGGACCGCCTCTGGGTGGGTGCTGGTTACAAACGCTTCGTGCTGAGCGAATAGGCCAACTGCAGATGAACTCAGAAGAACAATCAGTAAAAAATATTTCAGGGAAATGAAGCACGCGTGGGCCGTTGCTCAGAACCCGTCCCGAGGCGCCACATTTCTGAGGCCATTCACAGCAAAATGCCCTTTTTTTTAATTGCACCGCATTTTGCACAATAGCCAATTTTCTATAATATGTGGCCTCATATCTGAGTGCAGCGTTGGCCTCCTCTCTCTCTTCTTTCTGTTTCCTCTTCGTTCCCTTAATTCCATTTATCTTCCTTACCTCCTGCCTCCTTCTTCATCTCCTTCTCTCCTCCACCCTTCCATAATTCTTCCAGACACCCTTTCTCCCCCCTCTCTCACGCTTGACGCCATCTCCCTCAGCTTCCCATCCCTCCTTCCCTCCTCGTCATCTCTCTGGGCTAAATCTTCATATTTCCTTCATGCCGTCCATTCTTCTCTTCATCACCTTCCTGCTGTTCCTCCACCCCTCTCCATCTTTCTTCTTCTCCCTAATTATCACTTTTAAACTTCCCTCCTCTCCCTATCACCTTCCAGCCTTTCATATCCTGTTGCTTACCCCCCTCCCCTCCCCCTGCCTTCGTATCTCCATTGCTTTTAAGTCCCATCTCTGCCCTGCACATCCTTCCTCCCTCAGCCTCCCCTTTCTTCCACCCCTGTCAAGTCACATCAGATCATATCAATCAAGCTCCCCCAGCAACGAGCGGCACGCTAATTTACTTTAAAGCGCCTCAGTAAAACTCGACTCTGGAAAGATGTTTTCCTGCACATGCGGCACAAAAATGTCAGAGGTGAATTTTGGGAGCGATGTGAATGATTCACAGAAGTTCTGAGCAGTTTATTTCATACTCGGTGGGAGCTTCTGTTTAGTGTTTCATTAGCGTTAATGTTCTTTTACAGCTTACGCATGAGCGATCTAGGCCGTTTGCTGAACTCGATGTGGCTCTCTGAAGAAAACGGGCGCCGCGTGCGTTCTGTCTGGAAGTTTAAGGGAATATGACGCAGATTTCATGTGACAGCTGAAATAAACCCGCTGGGTCAGTCCCCTGGTTTATGAGGTTGGCTATTTCCTTCTAATCTAACGTGAGTTTGGGAGTCGGTGCTTTCCATTTCAGCCTCACCTTTCCTTCCTCTTCGTCTCCTTCTTCTGCCCTGACGTGCCTTCTGTTTTTTAATCATTCTACTCATCTTCCTCTCACACTTCCCATCACAATTTCCAGCTCTTCTGTCTCCTCGCTCCCACCCCTTCTCCCTCCATTTGTCCCGCAGGCAAAAGCTGTTCTTCCAAACCTGATTATATCTGTCACACTGGAAGCTTTGGGCCTCTATTAGAGCCAATAGGAGCAGACAGCGTGGGCAAATAAGCCAAAAAAATGGAAGAAGTATAAGCAAGGAAGAACGGAGAGATGGGAGGAGAGGAAGAAAAGACATCCTGACCTTAGAAGCTGCAGCTTCTGTAAAATCCTGCAAATAAAAGGTCACAGATTAGATGTGGAGCACGAGATACACCGGCCTGCCGAAGCGTCCTCGTGAAGGAGTCGGTCCTTCGTCCTGCGTCGCTCTCAGACTTTTAGCCGAGCCAAGAAATCCCCACGACTCTAACAAAGTTTGTTTACCTCCCCCTCCATTTCTAATTTCAGCCCTGCGCCTCCCTTCCCCGCTGCTGCTCTGTCCTCAATTACAAATTTCAACACTTTTTCCCCGCCACCCCCTCCTCCTCAGATGTTAGCCCCCCCCCCTCAGGTATTTCGAAGGTCGGCGCTGAAGGTTGTGGAGCGAAAGGCCAAATCAATTTTTGTGCTTGCCGTTGCACTCATACTAATGGCCTTTTCTTATGAAAATCTGCCAGAGTTTGAGAGGTCTCCAGCTCCGTGACAGCCTCGCCTGCCCATTCACCTTTAGCTGAGCAGTCGGGGCCCCATCAGTGAATGCATCGCCATTTAGCCATTCATACCGCGTAGAGATGAGGGCTCTCAGCCGGGTGGGCAGGACAGCCTCAGAGGAGGTTTTAAAGAGGTCGCAGGGTGATTTAAGAAATCTGAAATACAGTATAAACCTTTACAAGTGCACGTTATTTATATCCAGTGATATCTCTGAGAGCCGTAGCGTTTTCCTGTGCTGCTGCAGCTGCCTAAACACATTTCTGAATCCTTTTTGATGTTAATACGACACCATTTCTTCATCGAAGGGTCGCGGTGAGTTATTAGGTGATAAACTGAATGGGCCAGTACTGATCTGATGCATTGGTTAATGGATTTCAATGCTCTTTCTTACACTGTGTCATTATGAAACGGAGAAAATGCAGCTTTACAAGCTTTCTCTGAAGATTCGTTTAGAGCTGAAGTTCTTATATTTTTAATGGCTGATTTAGGAAACGGACAAATGATTGAAGGCGATGTACACAGTTAGCTAACAAGGAAGAGACGCAGATCCCTTTGGTGTTGCGTCTGGACGACCATTTGGGCTAAAATCTGCCATTGTGTGAATAAGGAAGCATCTAAGACAGCTTCACCCCGCCTCTGCAGGTATGAAGCTCAAACATGCACATCATTAAATTGCTGCCCTTCCTCCTCCTCGGACCAGCTGCCGTGCTAAACTGTTTTTCCAACTCGTGCAACAAATGCACATCGTCAGTCTTGTTATTTCAGCTGTATCTGTTGCTACGCTGGTTTCCAGCTGCTTATAGCATAAACAGCAGTTGTTGGGGAGCTCTCCAGCAGGTTGTACCATCAGGGAGGTCCTAGAAGTCTTTGGTCTGAAAGCTGCTGGAACTTCAGATTCAGACACTGGCAGCATTGAAACGCGTGTCCAGTCTTCACCGATTACCTGTTTGTGGACACGCCGCAGCGAGCGGCTCTGAAGCTGTCGTTGGCGAGTTATTAGACAAATGTTTTTGTGCCTGAGATGAGTTCAGGAAAGTAGACAGACTTCTGCTCTGCTCTCCACTCCGGGTAGATTTGTGGCAGGTTAACCTTGCCAGAGTGGAGCGATTTGAAAGCTTTTGGATTAGATGAAAAGGTTTGGACGATGTGTGCAAACTGCAGAGCGCCCAAACAGGTGGAAGAGGAGCTCTTACTTTTCTTATTTTGGATGTTATCATTC